CAACAACAACAACAACAACAACAACAACAACAACAACAACAACAACACAAAAACGAGAACACACATACCGAACTTGAGGCGGAACATCTGCCAGCTGGTGATGGCAAGCATACACCCGCGGCTTGCCCATGCCTGCGTCTTGAGATGAATCTCTTGAAGGAAACATCATCAGGATCCTTTTCTTAGCATACATTTTGGATGGCAAAGGTCATTCTTCTATGATATGCCTCCAGTTCGGAGGAACCATGGAATACATCCAAAAGGGCTATCATGGACTACTAAATGTCACAGGCAAATGATGCCATTCGCAAGGGCCCAAACTCATCCATTTTGGCTAAAAGAGGTCGTTACTTCTTTATAGCACCAGTCCTTCTCCGGTGTTGGTGAGAACTGAGATCCATGTCCCTACATGAATTCTCCCAGAAATTATTATCAAGTTGGAATGCCGACCCAAAATCGACCTACTCGACCCTGAGAAACGATGTCCCCCCTCTGAGCCTGAAGGGCGTGGCCAAAATCATCATCCGAACCACCACGCTGCACCGTCCATCGGTGGACTCCGGCGTGGTCGAACAGCATGAGGAAGACGTCCGCGCTGCTGATACCCGCATTGGTGTAGCCATCCAGGGAGCTTTTTGTCCAGCCGGCCACCCAAGAGTTTCCGGAGGCGTCCACCTGCACACACTGGGGGAAAGGTCAACAAATGCATAGACAAATAAAGTTGGCAATTAAGTTGGCAGGAAGGCTCTAAGCTGAGCACTCACAACTGCAGTAATTACAAACCCAAACAAGAACCCTATGTCATGATATGTCATTGTTGAACTGACATGAATGAACCAAAATATATATGTCAAAATGGCATGCCAACACGAACGGGAGTTATATAACCATAAAATAACTACATCTAAAAGCTGACAAAACACATGTGGAACTCACAAGTTCTTCCTAGAACTTGAAACTGGAGGTTCCAGAAACAAAGCAATGCACCACATCACCGAAACCACCAATTACTTTCAGTAAAACCTGGCCACCGAACTCCTCGGATCGGAGCCTGAAGAGCCCTGGCTTCATCACGGTCAGAGCCGCCACGCTGCACCGTCCATTGGTGGACTCCAGTGGTGTCGAACTTCATGAGGAACACGTCGGATTCTCCCGCATTGGTGTGGCCATCCAGGGAGCTCGTCGTGTAGCCGGCCACCCAGGAGTTTCCGGAGGCATCCACCTGCGCAAGGCCCACCATCGGGTATTATCAATGTGTAAGAATTCATGGGAGAACAGAATGAAACTGCTACCCGGTTTCAGCCACTTTCAAGAAAAAGTTATCAGAAAACATAAGCTGAGACCACAAGCAAAGACTTCCTTTGGCAGCAATGGCTGTATTGGTGGGCATGGAAAAGGGATAACTAACAGCTAACACACCAGCAAGTTCTTCGGCATAGGATAGAATCGAACCTAAAGCCCGTAACTCTGCCCGTATACATTGAACTTCCGCATATAACGGATCCGAAATGGTCGTCCACGAGGAGAAAGAGCCTCCCCCCCAGAGCCTCAAGGGCCCGGGCCATATCTTCCCCAAAGCCGCCATGCTGCACCGTCCATTGGTGGACTCCGGCGTGGTCGAACTTCATGAGGAAAACGTCCGCGCTGCTGATACCCGCATTGGTGTGGCCATCCAGGGAGCTGAATGTGTCGCCGGCCACCCAGGCGTTTCCGGAGGCGTCCACCTGCGCAAGGTCCACCATGCACGCAATCAATTGATAAACTGGTACCTCATGGCCTAAAAATATCTAAACATACTGTCCAAAATTATGGAAGGAAGTGCAATCCGTCAAAACAACAATCACAAAATCCTTGGCTGGCGGCGTTTGAAGCAGGTTTGCGCTCTTGCAGCTGCATATGAACCATTTTGGATTGGTGGATATGAGATCGAGGGGGTCAGTTTTCACCTGCAAACATTGGTTGTACAAACAAGAATTGAGGCATATCAAGGCAACCTTTGGTTGACATTGGCAACTTGGAACTCTATACCAGTGCCGGGAAAAACACAATTTCAACACATACTTAGCAAATATTTGCTCAAGCTCTTCGAGGGCCTCGGGCCTCAAGCCCGATCATTCTGAAATTACGGGACATGAACATCACGGACCGAAGGGTATATTATATAGTATACCCAAGATTACCCAAGTCCATATCAAAAGTAATTATCACTCACAATCCGTCTTCAAATCGGTGGACATGATCCACACATGAAACAGTCAAGTCCTTCCCGGTCATAAAGACATCCCACCAACTGAAGTTGTCCAAAACAATGGCTATACAGTAATGTTTAACAGAATAAACATAAGGAAGCCAGGCTTGAACAACATCCGCCAACGTCCCCCTCAGAGCCTAAAGGGCATTGCACTCATCAGTATGAGAGCCGCCACGCCGCACTGTCCATTGGTGGACTCCGGCGTGGTCGAACTTCATGAGGAAGACGTCCGACGCTCCCGCACTGATGTGGCCATCCAGGGAGGGGCTCCATGTCTGGCCGGCCACCCAGGCGTTTCCGGAGGCATCCACCTGTGAACGACAGGACATGAACAGGGACCGAGCCCCGAATATTGAAATCGATACAGAAAATTAGATATAGAATTGTTCTTGAGCATTTACATGAACATTTGAACGCATGGCGCGTATTGGAAAAATGCTAGAAAGAACGTGTAGTATTTTGCTGATGGCAATGGAACCATGGAGACGATATTTATTGAGTGCATACAGTGATGGACCTTGCACCTGCAGCAAGGATTGCCCAAACAAGGCAATAAAAAACAGAAATGGCATGACATTGGCAGGGAAAGCTTAGAACTCAACGCCTGCCAGAGTTATCAAGCAGTGCCACGGGAACCAGTTTTTAGGATGTTGCCTTAGAATTAAAGGACGTTCAGGGCCTTGGACCTAAAACTGTTGAAGGCCTTTCAGGTCTTCCATCTGATCACGAAGGACTTAAGGCACACGAAGACCACAAACAAAAAAGGAAACCCAAGTACGCAAGATTAGGCAAGTATACGGCATATCTATATAACGCATTTCCAAGCAACCAATTTAAAGCGAAAACATACACCAACATCGACCAACGTCCCCCCCTCTGAGCCTGAAGGGCGTTGCCGACATCAAGATCCGAACCACCACGCTGCACCGTCCATTGGTGGACTCCGGCGTGGTCGAACTGCATGAGGAAGACGTCGGAGAATCCCGCAGTGTTGTGGCCATCCAGGGAGCGGCTTTTTGTCCAGCCGGCCACCCAAGAGTTTCCGGAGGCGTCCACCTGCACACACTGGGGCAAAGGTCAACAAAAGCACACACAAATAAGTTGGCAATTAAGTTGGCAGGAAGGCTCTAAGCTGAGCACTCACAACTGCAGTAATTACAAACCCAAACAAGAACCCTATGTCATGATATGTAATTGTTGAACTGACATGAATGAACCAAAATATATATGTCGAAATGGCATGCCAACACGAACGGGAGTTATATATCTAAACAAGATGGAGCCCACGAACCCGAATGCAAACACATACGTCAAACCACTGCGTATAAAAAGAGACACAGCCGGTCAGAATCTCTTTTTCACTCTCTGGCACGCTGTTGGACATCATGCGCTGGGGACTCCACCACCAAGGCAGCATGCGCTGGGGACTTCACCACCAAGCTCCGTCTTCATCATGAAGGGTCTTTGTTTTGCATTCAAATCAAGCACTGGCGTAAAGGTTCTGGCAGATCCGCGGCACGAAAGAAACAATGGCATTGTCCCAAAATCTCGAAAATAAGCACTTGAAAATGATAACCGTCCACATAATACAGAGAAATCCACAACTGCGGCGTCTGATCTTCTTGTAAATAGGAGTGTAAGACCGTGCGTTGTTGTGGTTCGCCTGCATCGACAAGAAGTATATGAGACACACACAACGGAAGTGAAGAAAACTATCCTATAGGTTATGTCATTAGTCCAACATTCGTATGGATTTATCGCACACGCGTTTGTTAGATGTGTCACCGGAGCCTCGAACAACAGACGTCTGGGTCCAAGTATTTCCAGCAATGATGAAGCCAAGATTGAGCTCCGTGGCCAACGCAACAAAGTCGACGTCCGTTGCCCAATGAGTATTCCCACAAGCTTCGAGAGCAGTGCTCACGGCATCCTGCAAAGACACCAGGGCCGCAGTGCCAGAACGCACTCTCTTGCTCCTCGTCACGGAGCTGTCGCCCGCTTTGTAGCGAACTAGCATGGCGTCGTCTACAACTTCTGCTCCGAGGACATCGTTGGCGTCTTTCAAGAAAGCAAAAGGAGAGCCACGCAAGAGTGCGATCATGGACCAGTCGTCCAGCCATGTCCTCGCAGCTTCGCGCACCAAACACCCGACGACGAAGTTCAAGAATGCTTTTGGCGTCTTGGCGCGCATGTGTTGCCCGACAATCTTGCGGAGAGCAGCCGCAACCGTAGTTCGGTCGTCCCAGTCAGCCACCTCATCGGAAGTGAAAAGATTCAAGAGTCGTGGGTGGACTGCTCGCGCCTGCATCAGGACGACCGCAGTGGACAAGAAGAAGCAATCGCCGCCTCCACCAGCTTTGGCGGCAAAGACACGCAGAGCCCCGTGTTCTCGGAAAAATTGTGCCGTGGGAGCGGCCACCTCTTCCAGCACAAGAGACCAGATGTCGCAGAAATCCGTTCGCAGCTGACGCCACTTGGTGGGGTCGTACTTCCTTTTGGTTCCCCTGAACTCAGTCACTACACTCGCCCTCGTAGCCGCCGTCCAAGCCCCTGGGACGTACTGAAAGCGACCCTCTGGTGTTCTGCGGGTCGGTCGCGGTAGGTGTTCCGCGGCTGGAAAACCAGGCAGATGTCTGCGAGCTTCTTCGATTGCGGAGCGAGACAAAAGCGCAACCTCCTGCAAACAATGATACAAGATCGACACACGCGCGGTTGCGGATGGTATGACTCGTGGCTATTTCATATGTGATCACTCGAGCAGTGTGAATCAGTCCGTGGATATCCAACATAGCACATTAAACAAGCCAACAAGCACATCAGAGTCCTCCAGTCGATCCAAAAACTCGGCAATATACGCAGGTGGACCAGTCTCAAAGATTGAAAAATCAATATCGCCTTCTGGCGTCTCCGGTAAATTGCGAAATAAGGAATACTCGAGAGCTTGAGCGCGTCCAAGAATCATGTACAAGTGCTGCGTATAATCGTCTGCCGAAAAATAATCTGGTTTCGAAAAATCAATCGTGTGCCCAACTCCTTTGATGGTCTTGCCTTGGGCATTGTTGTAGGTTCCAGCAGCCAGCGGAGCAAGAGGATACTGTATCCGAGTAACATCCAACATCAAGGCTCCTTTGCGATGCAATTGCACGCGGAAGAATCTTCACTCGGTTCTAAATGCCACACTCCAGGCAGAAGCTGTCCAGTATAATCTTCTTGCTGATCCTGTTGCAAGTCAGGTGTGACTCAGAGATACATGGGTCCTACAGAAGGTTAGATTAAACTGTCTAAAAACCGATGTTCACAAACTATGCAGGACACTTGTCTTCAGTCACATCCGCGTATATCAGACTATATTTAGTTGCAGGCCCAGGCCTCAATACGCAAGGTAATCGAGGCAGGGAGATAGTCCAGGCGAACATATCCAGTCTCCCAGCACGGATGCGATCCCGCGGGGACTCCACCACCGGCGGGCGCGCCAGGCACGCCAAAGCGTTCGTTGGGATGAAATTGAATGGCGATCACCTCGGCCGGACACTCTTGCACGATTTCTGGTGGCAAGAGTTTCTTCGTCACCTTCACCTTCAAGCCCAAGTGCAGCGGTAGAAACGACATGAGGTTGCCAGTTTTACTTGCCATGTTGGTCAAGCCCAGAATCTCGCGCAGAATGGATTTATCGTTGGTGAACTCACTTTGATGCACCAAATCCACTGCTTGAACGTAGTAGAGCAGACGACCTTTGTCATGTAGCAACGACGTCAAGAAGGATTCCTGCTTGGCGAAGACCGCTCCGAAGCGAGACCATGAAAGGACCTCGAAAGATACGTCGGAAAGTGTCGACGAATCAGCTGGGGACGTCCAGTCTGGGTGTTGCGGAAAGCTGCAACACCAAAGCTCGCGCGAGCAGACTCGTATGCGCACAACTGCTGGAGACGAGCCACCTGGTCCCAGTTCACTGCGCTGAAGACACCGCGCGCGAAGAAACCTGGAGGCCCGGTGGGCGCAGTGGAGCCTGAAGCCATGGTGTAATCGCTGCTCAGACGAGGATCGCCTCCCAGCGGGCGATACACCCGCTTGCGAATGGCCTCCTTCAGAGCCGTAGACAAGGGACGACCCCCGACCACTCGCATCGTCTCCAAGAGCTCGGCCAACGGATCTCCTTTCCGAAAGCGGTGAGAGCCTCTGAACAAGATGACCTGTTTCAGAAAGGCGCGAAAGACTGCAAGTCCATGTTCATCGATGTCGACTTTCTTCCTGCGCTGTTGGTCGTCCATCTTCTCGTATCGCGGCGCCCCCGGCACTTCAATGCCGAAGGCTTCCATGAGGGATCTGGCTCGCACGGGGTTCAACTGCAAGAAGTCACCAGCCAAAATCTGACACAAGACATTGCCGAAAATGTTGATCAGAAAATCCTCCGGAGAAAGGTCGAAACGACCATAGCAGGCCGATCCGTGTAGCACTGCCAACAAATTCGGTGCA